AGTGTTGAATACTGCCAAACAATATCTATCGAATCAGCGAGAGAGACATGTCAAGCGACTGCCGATGGCATCCCGTGACCGAAAAGAACCATTCCTCGCCTGAATTTCTCGCAAGAACCACGGCATGGCGTGTCACTTGACACATCAAGTAAGCGCACAGGTGTCTAGACAAATCAAGGCGGGGCTCATGGTCGATGGTGACACTCATGCTGTCCGGGAACTATCGATCTACACGATACATCCCGAGGATACGGTCAAATGACAGAGAAGCTTTCATGTGCAAGATTCATAGTCAATCACTTGGGTGATTCAATGGTACTGGCTCTTCTATAAATCCTCAACGCATTCGTCTTCCTCGCCCGGCGTCAAAGCCCTGACATTCGGCACCGGTAATTGTGATTCGGCCATAACCAGCATCAACTTCTTGTGAAACAAAGACTCCGGCCCACCAATGAGAAAAAGTGCTTTCTGGAGAGAATGCAGTACATCTCTGGCCCCCAGAAGCATACTATTGCACCCGGGCTGTAGGGAGCTAGACAACCACGTGTTGCAAGCTAGGATGTCGATGAGAGCATCGGCAATACGGAATACTTTCAGCTCCTACAGGAAAGGAAAAAAGGGGCAAAATGTCAGCGTCGGCGCGGCCAGAACCTCGGTAGTGTGATACTTACTAGGCCATATCCGTGGGTCCGAATGGCCTGCTGGGAAACAGACCCGAGCAGGCGCATGGCCTCGTGGGCAACCTTGGCAGGCTTCAGCATGGAGAGCATTGCATCATCCATGCGGCTAGACATCTGGTAGTGGCTCAGAGCAAACTGCCACCAGAGTATGTGGATCCAGTTCCCCGTCATCAGCACGTTCACTCGCTGGGTCTCTGGGAGGTTGGGCGCCAGGGCCGAGAAGTCCTGCTTGGCCATGGCCGAAAGCGCGCTGTAGAGATTGTCGGCTTTGCTGGAGCCGGGTGTGACACCCCCTCTGTCTGCCGCCATGACTATGTTATCGTCGAGTAGGGTGAAGAGTTGAGCGAGGAGTTGGAAGGAAGCGTCCACTTCGCCGACTCCTTGGATGTGAAATCCGGAGAGCGGGAAAGTCTGGATTGGCTTGAGGCATGGTGGGAAACAGTTCTGCACGCAGAATGTCCTGTTTCTTCTCTGTCAGCAATCCGATCCTGCCTAGAGGAGGCTTATCGACTGCACCGTCGCCAGTATGAAAGGGGGAGGAACTCACCTCTCAGTTACAAACACCAACCAGAAGATCCGCAACAGCAATTCTCTTTGTTCGTCTGCGAGGCTGACTAGGATCTCTGGACGGTGTAGGCTTTGCAAATGCAATTGAGCAATTGCCTCATGTAAGTATACCGTGGCTAGCCTGATGCGTTCCGTATTGGCGAAGTAGATGTGTAGAAAGAACGCAGTCAGTAAAGAGTCTGTCGTGTCTTCCTTGTAGTAAGTGCTTTGATGACGCTGATTGCTCAGATTATGCGAGAGTTGAGCATGATGTGCAAAGCTTTCCGCAATGCTGTTGTCATCTGAGACCAAGATATGCTGCTTGGAAAGCCGCAATTGAGATAGTCGTAGCTGAGCAATTACCGTAGCACAGATGGCTCCAGCTAATGCCCATGCATCGTGATCATCCAGCGAACCACAGATCCGGGACTTTAGGGATTCCACGTTGACGACGGGCCAAACACATGTTAGATGGTCTCGAAACTTGTTCAGGTATTCGATGTAAACCTCCAAAGGGTTCTTCTGGGCAGTACTCTCGTTCTCCACACCGGGAGTTGACGGCGATCTGGGGCTTTGCGTTGGTCCACGAGCCGGAAGAGGGAGACCTGATCGATTCTGCCGAATCTGCTCCTGGTAGTTTACCACCTTGTGAGTGGTACTCAATCGAGGCCCCTTCGGTCCTCTCTTTCGTGGAACCCGGAGAAACGTGCATTCGACTGATCTTTTTCGGCATTCGTTGCAGGGTGGGCTGCTTCCTTGTAAGTGGCATCGTACTCGCCGAAGCGAGCATCCATCGCAGGGATAGTTCGTACGCTTCTTGCCTTTCTCCATATTCCGGTTTCAAAGGCGATGGTTACATGAGATGTCGGAAAAGTGAATTATGAAAATAGCCAAATTTAGTTTCAAGTCTGGAAGACTGCATTTGTCTTTCCTAAATACCATTTCAGGCGAATAAATCAAGCGACTGACTCTTGTGGGGGGTACGGATACCCGGACGCGGATTCCCTTTTTCAACCCATCGGCTCCGGGGCCCCTCCTTGTCAAGGTCATCGGATTTCCATGGGTAGCTAAAAATTCCACGAGAATTTAACCGGGCATCGCAGTCTCGGCCTTGTCGCTTGAACTTTTCGCTTGAAATATCCCCGGACCAACCCGCATTATCCACATGGAACCAACACTACGGCCCTTGACGGCTAGGTTGTTCGAGACCCGAGTCAACCACCACCTGATTGCCACGAGAAAAGTTGCAAGTCAGTGAAGTTCTCCAAGACTGCGTACGATCAAGAACCACCGATGCGGGTTGCACGTCGGACGATGTTGGCGCAAGCAAAATATTTCTGGGAAAAGGCGGGTTGATGGTTTTCTTCACGGAGGTCAACCCACGCGAGCAAGAGGCATCAAGATAAATAGTTCTTCATGGTCCCGAATTCGGAAACATGTTCCCCAGATTTCCCCGGACTTTACTACAACCATCTCCATCTTTCCCTGTCATCTTATCAGCTGTCTAGAGTCTGTGCTACCAATGGCGACCACCCCGGCCAATGTCGAGACTGCAAATGCACTCACAGATCCGAGTGCGGCAGAAAAGCACGGCAAACATGAGCCGGTACTTCTGGATTATGTAGCCCACGATGCTCAAGCGGCGACGGAGAGCCAAAAGAACATGTCGGTCATGGAGTCCTTCCGGGCGTATCCCAAGTCTGTGGCATTCTCAATGGTCCTTTCTCTCTGCATTGTCATGGAGGCATACGACACCTCCCTAATTGGCAACTTCTACGGCTTGCCGCAGTTCCGTCGAAGATTCGGAGTGCGGTTGGAGAACGGCGACTATCAACTGACATCAACATGGCAGTCGGGCTTGCAAAACGCTACTCAAGTTGGTCAAATGATTGGGCTCTTCGTCGGTGGCATCGTCGCGGAACGCTACGGATACAAGAAGACTTTCCTCGGTGCCCTAGTACTTAACATCGCCTTCATCTTCCTCTTCTTCTTTGCGCAGAATATCGGCTACCTTCTCGCAGGAGGTCTGCTTTGTGGCCTCCCCTGGGGTGCCTTCCAAGCTTTGACGACAACCTACGCCGCCGATGTCACGCCCATGGCCCTTCGACCGATCATGACGACTTATACAAACATGTGCTGGGTCATTGGGCAATTCATCGGTACTGGTGTCCTGCGAGGACTCCTTTCTCGCCCCGACGACTGGGCTTGGCGTATTCCCTACGCCATCCAATGGGTGTTCCCCTTGCCCATCATGGTTGGCGTTATGCTCGCACCCGAGAGCCCGACTTGGCTGGTTCGTAAGGGCCGTCTGACCGACGCTCGCAATGCTCTGCGGCGACTAGCGAGTTCCTCGACAACAGATGCTGACGTCGAGTTCAGCATCTCCATGATCGCCCATACAAACGAGATGGAGAGACTGAACTCGGAGGGAACCTCATACATCGACTGCTTTCGCGGCACCAACCTTCGCCGAACAATGATTGCCTGCTTCGTGTGGGTGGGACAAGTTGCTTGTGGCGTTTGGTTTGGCAGCAACGTCATCTACTTCCTTCAACAAGCTGGCTTTGACTCGGACAACTCATTCAGCTTTGGTCTCGGAACTAATGCCATGGCTATCGTCGGCACCTTTCTCTCTTGGTTCCTTCTCCCCCATGTCGGACGTCGAACGCTATATGTCGTTGGTCTTTGCATCATGTTCACCGTACTAGTGACCGTCGGCGGTATGGGCATTCCGGCTCCCCGTCCGGATCTAGGCTGGGCATCGGGAGCCTTGTTGATGGTCTTCGTCATCACATACGACATGACCGTGGGACCAACTTGCTACTGTTTAGTCGCAGAAATTCCTTCCACCCGACTCCGAATCAAGACAGTTGCTCTTGCCCGCAATGCCTATCTTCTGGCTAGCATCGGCGCCAACTTCTTGAACCCGCCTATCATCAACCCCAGCGCCTGGAACTTGAGAGGAAAGGGAGGATTCATCTGGGCAGGAATTTGCTTCTGCGAACTGGTGTGGGCGTACTTCTGTCTTCCCGAACCGAAGGGACGCTCCCCAGCTGAGCTTGAGATGCTGTTCGAGAACCGCGTGAGTGCACGCAAGTTTGCACAGGCTAAGGTGGAAGTATTTGCAGACAATGTGGAGAGAGATGAAAAGCACGATGGACCGATGGCGGTCAACGTTGAGGGTCGGTGAGTAGAGAGAGTAACTAGAGAGAGTCGCTGTCAAATACAGCATCATAAGCTTGACCGAACCGAGAAAGTATACGAATGCCTTCTTCAATATTCTGCCAATGAGACCTTTTGGTAAATGATCTTCTGTGTTAATAAATGCAACGAGACACTTGGCAAGTCACTATTGATGGTGATCGGAGGTGTAGATAGACACGGCAGCGATGTCTTCAAGATCGGTTAGGCAGAACAAAAACCCAGCACAGGCATGATGAGAGTCACATCCATTCATTCGTATTTACAATCTAGTAGTCGTTTACAGAAGTAACTTCCAACGACTCAAGCAATTCCTGCGGCCGCGAAGTACAATTGAAGTGTAATACGAAGCAGTATCCGTTAATAATCAAGCTGATGTGACAACACCAAACGCCCCGGCTCATGGTTCCACGAAACAAGCAGAGATCTCAGACCTCGTTACCAAACCAAAACTCCGACCCAATATCTCCGTAGGGTATCATTACCTAGAACTCCTGTGACGATAGACGATGTCACGACTGCTCGTACGCGAAGAGACACGGGCTCGACAGCTTAGAAGAGTGTGGCCCACGCCTATACATGCAGTGGGGTAATCTGCGACTTCCACTTCTTGCCTTGAGGCCGGCGCCCAATACGTGCGACCTCTCTCTCCGACAGCCAACGCTCCTCGCGCTGTAGTTGCTGCTGTCGTTGCAAGCTGGGGCTGGGGCTAGGACTTTCCGAGCCGCTGGTGCTCTTGGGAGTCATCAGCCTCGTTCTCTTTGCAACACGAGGTTTATCCTCGTGTTCCCCAGCCCCTTCGCGTTTTCTCTTGGTAGAGAGGAGAGACTTTGGCTCGGCATCCTTGGGCGGGGATGGATTCTTGGTCGAATGCTTGGCCGGCGCCTCCAGAGGGTGAGAAGAGGCGGGCTTGTTGTTCTTTGAGTCATTCTTGGTCGGTGCCACTTTGGATTGCTCTGGCATCAAGAACAGAACATCTGGCATGTGCTTCTCGATATCCTCAAACCAGTGAGAGCACAGTTTCTTGAGAATTGACTTGAAACCCCGCTCGCTGAGGTAGGAATGGACATTGTCTACGTCGGGATAGTACTCTTCGAGGAGGTCCTGGCGCATCTGGCGCGGGATCTGGCGCCAGACAGAATCTTGAGATCGAACAAACTTCGAATAGAAGAACTCGAATACACGAGAGTGGGAGGCACCGGGAAAGTACTCCTTGCTTCCAGCCTCGGTCTTCTTGCCAATTCTAGCTGCAAGGCAGATGATAGCCAGACTTCTTTCATTGAGCATGGTATATGAAAGCTGATAAGAGGACATCTTGAGTGGTGAAGAGATGGGTTTGTGTTGTGAGAAGAGGAAGAGTGTTGTGTGAGAGAAGTGGTTGTATGAGGCGTAGACGAGTATGGTATGTACAAGAAGAGACTTTGCAGAACGTAGAAAAGTGTATGAAATGAACAAGAGTGTGGTGGATGCTGGGCGAAGAGAATGAGAATCCATGGGGGATGGAAGGCGGTTTATATTAGTCTAGATGAACAATTAGCAGAGTACCGTGTTGGTCCATGGCATCTACCTTGGGTTATTTGACGGCAAATGTTCGACCTGGATGTCGGAGTGAGCAAGTTGGACAACGATGCCTCCTCGGCAGAGTCTGCGATATTGAACAGATCATTGGCTGACCGGGAACCTTAGTTGGTTGAGTTTGAGACTTTAGGGGTTCACTGGCTATGTAAAGTCTGTAGATATGCCAAACAGGTATGATAGCTACGTCGAGGAAGACTCTAGTCCGGGATTTCGTCTTGAAACTGTATCTCCGAAATCGTTCTGACTTTTCTCAGCCGCGATGGTGTCCACGAGGCTCAGTCGACCTGGGACTCAAGGTTTGCGCCACCAAGCGTCGTGCCGTACCGTTACTACCTTACCCAAAAGTTTGGTCAGGCATCCAAGAACGAGTATCTTGGCCTAGGAAGACGGCATGTGCGGGCTAATAATACTGCTAAGCGTATCATACTACGCTTCAAGTAAGACTGAGAAAGTCTACAACTGGAGTACATTGAAGCATGCAGTTTCTATATGAGAAATCGTAGGGTATGAATAGCGATTAGCATCTTCTGTGATATAAATCAAGTGTTTCATCATCTTCAGATCTCTAAATGTTTGGTATGTGACTTTGCTGAGGGAAGGGGGCTTATAGCCTTCGAGTTCAAGATAACGGATCAGTGGATTAAGCTTAAATGCCTTCTCTCATTGCATCATTCGAGACCTCCTGGGCTTAGCTTTCCGACGACCAAGGTACCTGGATTCTGACCTGGATTTGACCGAACAGATGTTAACATATCTGGGCGGACTAGACGTGGATGGCCTGGGTCGTCCAGGCATCATGGTAAATTTACATTGGATTACCCATGATCCGAACGTGTCATAGATGAATTGGCTCAGAAATATGCGGGCATCGAATTGCCATTGGAGTTCAAAAAAGCAAACGCCATGCAGACAGTAATCCGAAAGATTCCCGTCTCAATGGGGTGACCGACCTCATGATTCACCCTTGTCCAAACCATCTATTCTACACGAACTAGAAGATCGAATTGAGAGGCTGTGGAAGGCGTGTCCTGCTTTTGAAAAAGGAACGCCGTGCCAGTCTACAACTTGTCAAGTTCAGTTGTGTTGGCAGCCATGTATTCGCACTGGCTTCCGATGTCAAGCTAAGTTCATGCCCGTCAAGCCGGCCCCGAAAACTGCGGCTTCGACGAAACTTCCGTCTTACGCAAGCTGTGCTGGGTGCAAGTTGCTCTCATCTTCTGGTTTCAGCAGCGATGATCGAGCCTTGTGAGTATATCGTCCAAGCCATCTGTGCTAGTTGATCTCTTGCTGCATTAATGTGGAAGCCACAGAGAAGGAAGACGGCGATGATGAATTAATATTTCAGTGCGGAGAGCGGTAGTGCGAGATAATAGGTTATATAGAGCAATTTAGACTCGAGAAGCTGAAGGCTTTGTCCTGGATGTCATCCGAGCTGTGGGGGCTAGCGGACTTAGACGCGGCCTTTAGCACCGGCTGACACCCCTGCACACGGAGCCGAACGTCGTAACATCCAGTACGATGACTCGCTAGTTTCAAGACTGAAGCCGTAGAGGCAGAATAAGTCAAATAATTCACAAATACGGCATTCGGATTTATCTGTTATGGCCAGTAAATCGGTGGTTTGCTTACTTTTCTAAAGAAAATTACCAGGCTAAAGCTGTATGCCATGGCTCCGCTTTACGAGAACGATTGATGATGACCCTACACAAGAACTTATATAAAGTCACCGATTCTTTCCCTCAATGTCTATCAAATGATGTATCACTTGCAAATCTACAAAGTTATCCTCTTACTACTCGCTGTCCCTACACATCCACCATCGTCACTCCAATTCCATACCAAGATGGTCAAGACTCTCCCCTTTGGCGGCATCCGCGTCCCAGTACCGGGGTTCGGTGCAATGGGCATAACGTCGGCCATGGGCACTAGGCTCTCGGCTGAGCAGGCGGAGCCAGTGCTTCTAAAAGCAATCGAGCTGGGCTGTACCTTTTGGGACACTGCTGTAAGCCCTGTGCCGCACGTAGCAAGTCTCTTTTATGACGTTCCCTTACATGACATCAGGTTGCGTACGACGCAGGTCTTAACGAGAAGATCCTCGGGGATTTCATCCGCAAGCACAACGTCCGGGATAAGGTCTTTGGTAAGCTCAAGTTCACTTATGGCATCGTGTGATAATCTAGCATTGACCTTATATTTCAAGTTGCCTCCAAGTGTGGCTTTGATGTCTTCAACGACCGCAGTGTCACCAACTCGAGATCCCATATCCGGTCTTACATCAATGGTACCATCGAAAGACTAGGCTTCGCACCAGACCTGTACTACCTGCATAGAATCGATCCGAGTATGATATCCTCTCTAGCCTGTTTCTACTCATCTAACAAAGGCTATAGAGACACCTCTGTCGGAGTCCATCGCTGCTCTTGACGAGATTCGGAAGGAGGGCAAGACCAAGTACATTGGCCTGTCAGAGTGCTCTGCCAAAACCCTGCGCGAGGCTAACTCGAGTATGTCTCATCCGCCACAACGACTTCAGCTTCATCTTTCATGCAATTAAAAACTGACGTTTGAAAAGTCGCAAAGGTCGATGCGGTCCAAGCGGAGTATTCTGCCTTTGAGACGCTCCATGAGGAGAGCGGCCTAATTCAAACGGCCAAGGAATTGGATATTGCCTTTGTAGCGTTCAGCCCGTTGGGCCACGGCTGGTTGGTCGACAACTTCGACTATCAGAGCCCCGACGACTTCGCGCCCGATGACTTCCGTCGAACTGGTATGTAGTCACAGGCACTCGAATGCCTTCCTTCTCTTTCCCCGGTGAGCACATTTTCTGACCTGCATCACAGTCCCCAAGTTCCAAGGAGAGAGCTTTTATAAGAACAAGGCCATCGTGGACGAGATGAAGAAGATCGCTACCGAAAAGGGCTGCTCTCTTGCTCAGCTTGCCCTGGCCTGGGTGGCTGCCCAAGGTCTCATCACCATCCCGGGTACTACCAAGCCGAAGAGGCTGGAGGAGAACTGGGCCTCCCGGGATGTGGAGTTGTCGGAGAGCGAGGTTCTTGCCATCAGGAAGCTGGTGGAGGCCAACAAGCCTGAGGGCAAGAGATTCTCAGCAATGCATGAGGCCGCAGTCGGCCACTAGTATGGACCGTCTGGATCTTGGGCTGATGCTTCTAGCACTAGCTGTAGATCGCCTAGAACTCAAGCTCGAGAGTAGAGATGCATACATAAATCGGTTGTAATCATCACATTGTCACTCCCGCCTTCCTGAAAAGCTTTCGCTCATCCTGCCACACTCTCGGAGCAAAATTACGGAGCTGTTCCGGCATCTTCACACGAGAGCTCCGGACGGCGATCGGTGGTTGGCGGGGTTATCGGACCCACAGTAAGCAGGTCAACCGGACCAGCTCCCTTACACCATGCCCCGCAAAACCGCGCTAAGCTCTGAAGCCGAGTACCTCAGTATCCGGACGCAAAAGTTTGCCATGTGAATGCTGCATACGTTGCGGGAAGCAACTTGTATTCAATGCTGGTCTACGATAGAGCGAACTCGATCTGAATGCTTCTCCCACCTTCACTGCGCCAATTGCTGTGTAGGGCACGGCGATACAAGTTGTCTCGGCTGGCGGCCTACAGGACGTACCAAGGCCACGGTGGCCGTTGATTGCTGAGGAATGTTGGAAGCCATTGAAAAAGTGCTTCGCGCAGCTCGCCGTTTCTCCCTAGTGAGACAGGGTGTCAACGCCAGGGGTGGAAATCTATTTCGTTCAGCACACGCGTCCAGCCACGTGTTCACGAGAGTCGCTGATAAGATATGATCTCGAGGCGGAAAAATGGATATCGCGATGTGAAACAGACAGGTCGACAACAAGACAAGAAATTGTGGATTGGATTGATCAAATAGACTTTGGCGACTTGAGTCAAGACCGGCGAAGACGGGCAGTAATGTCGGCACCTGCGGAGCTCCATGCTACGATTTTAGCGGCGGAAATCAAACATGATGATGTCCCGATGATGCCCAAAATTGAAGAACGAAGAACACGACAGCATCTCGGCGGACGGATACATGATACATGTGAAGGCCCAGATGGAGAGCTCTCAGTATGTAAGGTACGGGGCAACATCGTATTATTTACAGAAGATGCCTAGTCAGGGTCCACGAGCCGGGGGGGAGAAGGTCCCTCCCTTCCATCCACCGGGCTCATTGTGTCGTGCTTCAAGGTGGAGCCCAAGCCTCATGGCGCCACAAGAGCTCAACAGGCGCACCTGGCCCGTGCACCACAGCTGGGGCGGTGCAATTTCCAGGCTGCGAGAAATTCCATTTACTGGCAGAAGGGGCCAAAACTTAGCCAACCAAGCAGGCCTTCGAGGAGATACAAGCAAAGGGCACACGACAGAAGCGTCAGATTTCTCCTTTGACACATTGCTTCAATCAACAGCTTGCTTCCATCGGCAGGATTGGATTGCTTCTCGCCATCTCTAGCCACCATCACAAAAGGGTGTCCCCAAACTTCTGACACATAACCCACAAGGCCCATTTCAGCCCGCGCAGCAGCTGTCAGCTCCCTGGCCCGATCGCCGAGATAGGGAGAGAAAGAAAGCGCCTCGACATCACGACCGAGCGCCCGCAGCCTTACGACCTGCAAGTAACTTTCCAACACCTTGCTGGCACGTCCTTCATCGCCTTGCTATCCGGTGACGACCTGCGCGACCTGCGACGAGTGTTAGCGTCTCATCTGCGA